TAGATACAAATACTACAACAACTTTAAAACCAGAAACAAATACTACGATTCAAAATTCAGACATCACACAAACGTCATCGTCATTACTTCCAGTTAATATAGTAGAAGATGAATCCAAATTAACAAAGACATCAAAGGAGGAAGTATCAAAAACGTCACTCTCATATAATACGGAAAATTCTTTTGTACCAATTAGCAGCAGAACTGATGGTCTTCATTCTGATCTTTCAAATGATATATTTGCATCTCTTCAAGTTCCTTCTAGTTCACATAATCCAGAATCTATATCTCCTACAGCAGCATTCCTAATGGCTTTTCCATTAGTATCTTCACTAAATGGTAAGACAGAAGTTTTGGAGGAAGAAATGAAAGAGGATTTTAAATACCATAGTCAAACTCCACCCATGCTTCTACAAATTGGAGCAATGGAACCTAATAGTTTCAAGTTCAAGACAGCATCTCCACCTCATTCTATCGCTGAAAAACGTTTAAAAATGACGTGTGAGGAAAAAAAAGCGGTAAATACTTCCGTGAACGAAACAGTAACTTCAAATATGATGGTCTCTGCAGAATGTACTACAGCCACGAAAGCATTGCCCAAAATTATAAACGATGAACATCTCAAAGAACCTTATAAGATTGTTCAAGGTGTATTGGCATCATCTTTGGAAAAGTCTGCATCTTCTAGCTCTTACTCGCACACAACTTTATATTCTATTTCAAATGCTTCAGGTACTACTTCAATCACTAGTACTTCAGAAACGGGAGAAAATTGTCAGAGTCAGCTTTCAACAAATCTAAGAAATGCAATTACTACCAACGAAAATATTGTTGCTTCTCAAATTACAGATACAGTCTCAATTTCAAATAAGACAAATTCAACTAATTGTTCTGTACAAACTTCAACTTGTGATACTAATGTTCGATATAGTACTTCACAAGACTTTTTATCGAGTTACTCAACAATCGTCGAGAATAATATTACCAATCTGCAACAGAATCCAAATGTTTGTACTAGTTCAGCAATCCAAGAAACAAATTCATCTGGATTAAATCAAAATATCGTTCCTGATGTAACCCAAGCATCTTTGGTTTCTCATTTGACTAATACCAATACAACTACAAATACTACATCATTACCATTACAGAATATGCAAATAGATTATACTTCTCAGATGAAAGATAAAGAATCTCATAATTCTCGTCTGACTTATGGGATTCACAGCAAAGATTCTCTAATGGATTCTAACATTGCTCCTAATAATCGTTTGAATTATACTGGCCATATGGATAGAGTTCTTCCCACTTCTTCTCAAAGTATTCAACAGGAATACCCAATGCAATCTAAAGATGCAACTCTACCAATTCTCTCTTCTCAAGCCATGCAAACTGTCTATGAATCACAACCCAAAGATAGTCATGTTCTAACTACTCAACAGAATGCTCATCAAAGTTTCACTATTAATGAGAAAGATCATATTATTCAGAATACTCATAGTGATTATACTGTGGATCAAAATAAAAATCTGTCTCGAAAAGATTCGTATTCGACAGCCAATAGTAATGCAAGTACATCCAACAGAAATCAAAATTATCCTTCAAAAGATTTAATATCAAATTCTGAAAATCATTATCAACGCAGTTATTCAAAGATAAATAAAGAGTCTGATTCTTCAAATAACAATGTTGTGGATCAAGATTCAAAGTTAAATAATATTTTGAGATCAAAAACTCAAGAACCACAAGATCATAGACGTGATAATAATTATAATTCTGCAAAAAAAATGGATGTTGATCCATTCGTTCAAACATTTTCTTATAATGTAAAAGAATCCATGACTAGCCAAGAACAAAATGTTCTAAATCAAAATACTGATAATATTTATCAAAATAAAAGAGAAGAGACACAAAATTATCCTACATATTCTAATAAAGATACAAAGAAAATCAGTACTAGTTCTTCCAATAATATGAACAATAAATCTCTCGTTCAAAATACTCCTGCTACGCGTTATTCACAACAATCAACGTCTTTCGTGGCTACATCTAACTATGAGCAAAGTACGGTTACTGAAAACCATGCGAAGTCGACGACTACTGTTGCTCATAATTCTTCAAATTTCAGTATTTTGTCTTGGACGACTTTTTCCCCTGTTGGTGGAGGAAATAACAATAATTTAGTACAATTTGAACAGGGATCGAGTCAGGCAGATAATACTGAAGCAAAAACAATATGTGAAAACTATAATTATGTTCCCCTTCATAAAGAAAATACAAATTTTTCCAATGTATTGACCAATGATGTTTATTCTGTGAATTCCACTATGGCTAATATAGACAAATCAAGAATGAAATCGGGAATGGAAGCACAGAAACAATCTTTTGTGGATCCTTCTAAAACTAGAAATATTCAAACTAATATTCCTCCATCTGGTAAACAGACTCGTATGCAAAATCAGTCTTCTTCCAATAATGATTACAACAAATATAGTACAGAAAATAAAAACAAATCTAAATATGGAATGGAATCTGAATATATTCAAAATGAATATTCAAATGTAGAACAGCAGCAATCGCAACAGCATGCACAGAAAAATCATCAATCTATGACAACAAAACAAGATAAAGCAATTTATCCAATGTCTAATTATGATTCTCAAGTAAACTTTGATCTACCTGAAGTTAGTTCTCAAATGAAGTATCCTGTTGAAACTTATGCAAGCTCGAATTTTAAATATTCAGACAAATCTCAACAACAAAATCAAAATAAGTATCAACCTTTAATCCAAGGACAAATTCCTTCTCTTCAACATGATAATGTTACTTATAACAATGATGGGAAGCATAATCAACAACAGAATACAAAATCGAAAGGAAATCAGCAGCAGCATGCAATTAGAGCACCTGTAAATTGGATGATGACTCCAGAGATAAAGCATAATTCCAATATTACCGATATTATTTTACCACCTATTGGAAAGGAATTGGACTTCTGCCAAAATAATCTATTTGCTCAAACGCCATCTTACAATCAGGGGACACCAAATCAGTTTTATAATAATTATGATGTTGCAGCTCATGGTTTTCCGAATTTACCGGTTCTACAAAGTGAACCAAAAAGGACTTCAGAAGTATTCTATTCTGAGGAACAACCATTCCCTTGGTCTCCTACAAAATCAAGCGTGCATGTTGAGCAGACTCAATCTGTTAAAGCTATAGATCAACATATTGTTCCTTCAAGTCTTCCAACTTTGGTCGGTGATCTTGATTTAGGTACTAATATATCCGAGAAACAGAGCTTTTTATTTGGTCAAGTAACTTCAAGAATTCCATCTGATCAAAATAAAGATCCTACCAAAGATAAAGATGGAAATGTTACAGGACGTGATTATCATACTGTGTTGAATAATCAAGCTGTTCAACATCCAGTAGCAGGATCTTCTTTTCTTTCTGTGAGTCAATTGGTAGAACATGAAAAAGCTGAGAAATCACATCAACATCATCAACAGCATCATCACCATCATCATCATCATCATCATCATCATACTCATCAACAGCAACAACAGCAGCAACAACAGCAACAGCAACAGGCTAGAAAACATCAGAGAAAAAGTAATACAAGTCCTAGAGGTAATAGTAAAAGGCAGATGGATATTCGGAAACAAACATCTAATGATCAAATGCATCAAAGACACGAGGAACAAAAATCGTCTGGACACACTTCTCTGAACAAGGGTATCAGCAACAGCAGCAGCAGCAGCAACAACAACAGCAGCAGCAGCAGCAGCAGCAACAACAACAACAACAACAAAAATACCAACAAAATAATGTTCATTGGAGAAGCAGGAATTGTAAGAGCAATTACACTGCTGAGGCATTGATAGGAACTAATAACAGTGTGCATGATACAAATCAAGATAAACATGCTTCGATCAAATTTTCTACGAATTATTCGCAGAATAAATTCCAAACAAGTCTACCTACTGCAGATGCGGTCATGCCTCTTAATTATTTTTCAAATACAGACGACGGCAGTGGTTACGGACAAATGGTGAACCAGAATTTTAATTCATATACATATTCTTCTAATACTAATATTTACCCTACTTCGAATTTTATAACCAGCATATCGAATACACCTACCAGCTATATGATGCCATTACACGATAATACTGACTATATGGAAGCAAATGCTTTCCTTCTGTCAAATGTGACAATTGCTTCGACAGTTACCACTTCATCAACTTCTACCGTGACCACCTCGACTTCAAATGTAAATACGAACACGAAGAATCACCAACACTATGGAAAGCATCAAAATTGCGATAAAAGATCGTATCCTACGAATGCAAAGAAAGGAAAAAGAAAAGGTCTCGATGGAACTATGCAAAATTTAGAGTTTCCTCTATCTGGTATCAATTCACCCCTAGAAGATTATCATCACTCTACTACGTTCTTACCACCACCACCACCACCACATGCTAGCCCCCTTTATCAGAATCACTCACAGGCAAATGTATATACTAAAGCAGTAAATGGTTTACCGCCTCCCCCGTCGGTATCTGGCCCTCAAGGTGTACCTACGGCTGGTTTTCCAATGAATCCAAACATGCCAAGGGGAGGAATTGTGGCAAGCAATCATATGACTATGAGTCATCATCCTTCTGGTACAAGTCTTACTAACTTCAATTTGAGTACCATTTTTCCAGAAATGAATGACAAAGTATGTGGTATTGATAACTCTAATTTAAATTTTTTATAATGTGATATTTTATTGAAATATCAATTAAAGTGAAATTAACATTTTATTAATTATTGTAGAATATTGAATAATTTTAGTTCATTTGCTAGATTACTGGATATAAACCACCAAATGGTATACCACCTGGTTTATCACAGCCACCTAATCAATCTGCAGCTTATACACAAAGGACCAATTATTCAACAAATCCTCTCTGTCATCTGCCACAGGTTTTTTTTTTTAATAACCGAAATCTTACTTTAACTATTCTGCGAATTAAGATTAAAACAGGAATGTTTTCAGGTATCAGAAGGAAGTCAGTTTGGTAATAGCGTTCCTCCTCCTCCTCCTCCTCCACCTCCTCCTGGAGTGATACATTACAAGAATGTATAATAATGTAAGTATGAATGAAGAACCAATCGATAGTTGTAAATATGTAAATAATCGTGTAATTAATTAAATTAAAAAAAATTGATATATTTGTGATATGTTTGATTTTATATTGCACAAGGTGATTGATAAAGATTATTAAAAATGTTAAGTTAACAAATGAATTATAAGGATGCAAATTCTATACTTTATTACATATTTCATTACAATTTAGAAATGTCGTTTAGTTTTTCGCGTTTCATTTGCTAAACGAGCATTTCATTGAATCTTATAAAAATTGGAACATTGTTGGCAAATATATATTATTTATTACTACAATCCTTTGCAATCTTTCTATCTTAATTGTACATGAATACAGGAAACAAATATCACAGCACATATTCCCCATTAAACCAACCTCTTTGTTTTATTACCTAATGTCTTTTGTAGGTGGTTTCAATGGAATTTTTCCGAAACTAAATTTCTCTGCCAAGAACATACTCTTTTCCTCAGCTGTTAATTGATTATCTAACGAATAAACGCTGTCATCAATAACAATTGCTGTCAACGTTGCAGTGAAAGATGGTTTTCCAAATGGTTCGTTTGTAGATGCCGTCACGCTATTAGAAGTTTGACTTTGCGCGAAAGTACCAAATGGCGAAGTAATTTGTTGTGATGTAAAGGTATTCGTGGTTGTAGTTGTACTTGTAACATTTGTGGAACCAAACGGTGAATTGCTCATATCACCAAATGTAGATGATGTGAATGGAGTAGTAGTACTAGGTGTTCCGAAAGTAACTCCGGTATTTAGAGTACCAAATGTTGTACTAGAAGATGTAGCTGCTGTAGGAAAAGTTTCACTGGCAGTTCCCGTAGTTATTCCGAATGTAGACTTTGAGAAAGCTGCCGTACTATTTGTTTCAAATTGTGAGGTCGCGGTAGCAAAGGGACTAGCAGTCGTCGAAGGCGTTATGCCAAATGGTGATGCAGTAGAAGTGGAAATGGCGGGTGTAGTACCCTGAGTATTTCCGAACATGTTCACAGAAGGTGTAGAAGTGGTAATGCCAAAAGCATTTGTAGGTTGTGCGGTACTAAAAGCGGGTGTTGTAGTATTGGATCCACCAAATATACCGCCAGAACTTCCAAATGTCGGTTTCTCGCCGAATATAGAACCAGAATTATTTCCAAAGGTTGCCGAACCGCCAAAAACTGGTGCTCCTCCAAAAGCAGGTGTTTCAGATTGTGAGAATATTCCCGAACTAAAAGTTCTTGAGGATGGAGTAACTCCAAACATGGAGTTGGTAGTCTGTAAATTTGAGGAACCGCCAAACGGATTAGCAGTAGAGGTTTTAGCTCCAGTGAATATAGAAGCATTAGATTGAGAGGAAGTGCTATTGAATAGAGAGGAAGAAGAAGTTGCTCCACTATTGAATACCGATGTGGATGCCTGAGATGTTTGCCTGGCGAAAACATTGTTCACTTGATTGGATGTTCCAAATATGCTGGGCTGCCCAAAAACGGGCTGGGAAGCTCCGCCACCGAAAATTGAACCAGATGAGCCAAAAGTCTGCGTGTTTTGTCCTATATTAAATGTAGAAGTGTTTGTAATTCCAAAAATAGAATTAGTGTTGGTACCACCACCAAACACTCCTAAATTACTGCTAAAAGTTGGGGTACTACCAAATACAGGATTTGAAGTCGTGGTTGTTTTCCCAAAGATTGATGTATTACTGGTGGAAGTGAAACCTCCACTAAATGGATTGTTTTGACTTCCAAATGTTTTGTTTCCAAATACAGAAGAGGATGGAGTACTGCTTGGATGTCCAAGTTGAGGAGTTGCAAAAGCAAAACTGGAGGATTTTCCAGATGTATTATCATTCCTGGTATTTTTATGACCTGTTCCTAAAATTTCTTTCTAAGAAAAAAAAAAAAAAGAATACTTTAAATTATAACAAAGACTTATCAATTACTTATATAATTTTACATACAAGTTTGGTTAATGTTTCACGGGTAGGATTTTTAAAAGCTTCCCTTTTTGCTTTCATATCTCTACATAATTGTTGAAAATGTAATTTCTGAAAGAAACATATAAATATGCACATATTAAAAGAACTCATAATAATATCTTAATAGAAAAGATATATATATATATATATATATATATGTGATACTAACTGCTTGCTCTACCATTCCAGAGCTTTGGGCTTTATACATTTCCCATCGTACTTCTTCTGGTGACAAGTCTTCCATGCCAGGAATGCATGGTTTTTCTTTAATCGGTGCAAAACATGATAATAACCATTGTCCTCCTTTTTCCGCGATAAGTATTTCTTTCGCAACCAATACCCTTGTTTTAAAATAAAAATTAATCGAATATCCCATATTTATTATCAAACAAATTTATTGTACTTACGCCAAATATTCGTCATCATTGTAAGAATCAGCTTTGGTATTATTTCCTACTATAGAACAAACGTTTTAATGTTAAATGTTTAAAAAAATATAAATAATATTTTTATTCTTACCAAAATTTATATGATCAAATTGACAATACTGTCCAAATCGACAATTCCCTTGTAGATAATATTTACAAACAACCATCGTGCATATGATTCAATGTGTTTAATCTTATTATGAAAATTTCGTCACACTGCATTTGGTGATCATATACAATATCGAGATGTTGATTTCTATGAGTTGCACCAGAGAGCGTAAATTCAATCTGGGAATTTAATTCCTTTATTTAACGAAAAACATAAATTTTTTTTTTATATAGAGTTACCAGTTGTTATCATTAACAAATCTTTTAATAAAAACATCAATTTTTAGAATCTTAGTTTTATCAATAAATAATGTTTCTATTTTTGAAATCTAGTGATTTAAATAAGATTGTCACGTGATTGGATCAGTCACAGTTATTTACTGCTATGTGTTAATATTCTAAGTGAGAAAAAACGTTGTAATTAAAAAATAAAAAATATAAAAAATTTTTCTAATTCTCTTCGTAATCGTATTAAAAGAACAATAGTTGTTTGATTATTAGTAAAAATATTTAAATGTTTGTATTGAACAGAATTTCACAATAGTCATCATTTATCACATTTAATTACGCACGTTGCAGGAATGCAGACGTATGTGTAAAAAACATCGCGATGATTCTTTCACAAGATGCGTTCTAAATTCGGTCAAACTCGTTGATAGATTCTTCGTTCGATTCAATCAGAGTTCGTGTGTTGAAAAGAGACACAAATAACTGGGTCGTCTTCCTTATCAGTGAACTTCGGAACACGCCCCACGCCGTTGAAATTGAACCGGCTGAACCCAACCCCTTTTCAGCCCAACCAACAGAACGTAATGTTTTCACGTGTTTCGTTTTTAAATTGATTGATTTCGATCAAAATACAAGTTATTCATAGCTTCTAAGAAAGATGGTAAGTATTATTTTTTAATATCTGAGAAATAGGTTATATGTGTCTAATTTATGTGTCTCGAAAAGATAAAATCCTTTATCAGTCAAATTGAAAATCCATGTAACAAATTTTCGTTTAATATTCAATGTATTTTCTTCTCTTTTGTAAATATATATTACGGATTAATTAATTAAAATAATAACTTTATAGTGAACAAAATGACGAATGTTCACTGACGAAAAACCTAAATTTGGACTATGCGTTAATAATTACATTCGAATTTCTTAATAATGTTTTAAATTATTTATTTTTAATGTTTTTATTGCAGTCGGGAACGCTGAAACCTTATCTGGCAGCAGTGAGAAGAACGCTTACTGCTGCTATGTGTTTGGAGAATTTCTCCTCTCAAATAGTTGAGAAACACAATAAACCAGAAGTTGAAGTGCGAGCTAGTAAGGAACTTCTTTTGACACCAATATTAATAAGCAGAAATGATAAAGAAAAAGTATTGATTGAGTCCAGTATAAATAGTATGAGAATAAGCATTGCTGTGAAGCAGGCTGATGACCTAGAAAAGCTTCTATGTCATAATTTCACAAGATTCATGACGATGAGAGCAGAACACTTCATTATTCTCAGGAGAAAGCCAATAGAGGTAAATATTTTATCATATTATTAAATAATAATAAAAAAAAGAAAAAGGGAAAGAAATAATTAATATTTATAATATTTACTTATCACAGGGTTATGATATTAGTTTTTTAATTACAAACATCCATGTAGAACAAATGTACAAACACAAGATTGTAGATTTTGTGATTTATTTCATGGAAGAAATTGACAGAGAGATCAGTGAGATGAAATTATCTATGAATGCAAGAGCTCGCATTTGTGCAGAAGAATTTTTAAAAAGGGTTAGTATACGCATGATATAAATATGAGAAGATATAATACAATTGCTAAAATATTTTTTTCCATTCCAGTTTTAACTTTATGGACACAATGTGTTAGCAACATAGCAATAATCACAAATGCCAGGTCACTAAAAATAACAGTGCCCATGAATCAAGCTGGTTAATATGCAACCAGATGAAATTTTAACAGATTAATCTCTCAAATTGACTCTAAACGCTCCTTAATCCAAACATGCCAATTCCCATTGTTGTCCAATCATGAAAAAAAGTTCATTCGAATACATTTTTCGATTAATCACTGTCATTCAGCTGTGTGTGTAACGAATAACAAGTCTGATGTACATGTAAGTACCATAACGGTATTAAATTCAGCACGCGCAGCCCCTCGTATGATAATCGCGAATATATTTCGCAATTCGTGCGTTTCTTTTCCTTAAAAAGAGGAAATTGAAACTGGTGGTATAGAAGTAAAGCGTGCAATTCCTTTTGCATTTATAAAGTTCTATTTATCTTACGAATCACTGTAACCATATTGATTTAATACTAATGTAAATACAAATAAACGAGAAGAACCATCGCCAGGACATGAATCAGGCCCCCCTACCTTAAGCATCCTGAAGATTAAGTCCTCCTACCATTTTAATATTGGTCCTTCAACTTCAGGTACTTTTAAGTGCAATTATACATTATTTCAGTCATTTTTAATCATTAAGTTTTTAATTCCAAATAAATTTTTATCACACTTTTAAGTTCCAATGTCGATCCATACAAATTTCAGTTTTAACAATATTATATTTATAATTATGTTAACCATAAATTTTTTTTTTTTCTACTTAATTTAGACACAAATGATGTATTTTAATATGTATTAAATCACGTATTATATTCTATTTGAAAAAAATTGATCAAGTTTCTAAGAAATTGTTTATTGAATCGATCAAAATAGTTTTCTTTTTTTTAAAAATATTTTACCATTCCATTTGAAAAACGCCTTGAAGTTCGCAACGCGTTGGACAAGGAACGCGGGCCCTTTCGAACTGTGGGATCCATCACGTTCATGGCTCTCCACTCTTTCTACGAGGAAGGGTGGCCCAATGGTGACCATTCATTCGCTCAACGATACCAGTAGCAGTTCACGAGTTTTCCAGTCATCGCGATCTTTCCTCCTTCCTTCGTCATAAAAAGTGACGATTCATTTCTCAAGAATTAACGTTTAACAATTTAACATCGAACGACTGATATCCAACGAGATTGAAAACGAAGAACAACAAGATACCGAACGTAATATTCAAATATAATATTTGGAAAACGTCATAGAAAGATCATGAGAGTCGCAAAAAGTTCTCAGAAAGAGATAAAATCCCGTATATTAGAAGAAGAGGAAAAAAAAGAATCTTGCAGCCAGCCAAAGCTTATAACGATCTTTTCAAAAAGCCGGCGAACGAGGGATTCCAGTCTCCGAATTTTCCGGTAAGGGGGGTGTAAACTTTTAAGCCGTGTCGTCTCGCGGTTAGTTACGAACTTTTCCCCTGCGTTGGGTAGTTTTAAAGGGGGCACGTAATCTCGTTTCCCGTTGGTCGTGATTTCGAGATTACCGCTAGTATTCCTAGCTATTGTCTAGGAGTGGCAGGGGTGGAAGATTGTTGACAAACTTCCGCTTTACGTGGGGTGTGTCGTTTCCGCCTGTATGCTGCAACTGAAGTTCTAGTCGACGTTGATCCTCTCGAACATCCCTCGTTTCCCACTGTGGAGAAAGGGGAGGAAGTATAAGTAGAAGAGACTGCCTAATTCCTAACGAGCGCCCAAAAATATACGGTGCAAAAAGAGAGAGAGGCCGAGGAGAAGCAGCGGCTGTAGATAGCTGGCGAAGAAGAGGGTCGAGGTAGAATAACAGGTAGAAACGAGCCGGATAAATAGAGGCTTACGAATTACGGGTCTTCTTAGCTTTATCCACCGTTCCTTCTCCTAGATCCATTGTCCTTTCTCTTTCCTCTCAATCCTATTTGTTTCTTCGTTTCGATCGAATGATATAAAACGGTTTGAATCAATTGATAAGAGAATATTATCGATAAACGTAAAAAAAGAAGTGTAAAATAGCTTGTATAATGATTTTTTTAAAAATATTTTTATTATTCGTTATATTCCGTGATCCTTTCGAAATGCTATTAGAAAAATTCAGCGATCAGACCGACTTGATAGACTCGTTCTACTTAACGCCGTTCTCCTATCTTCTCTAAATGTTTTTAAGCACTTTGGAAACTCTGTTTTAATCCGACTTCTGAACTAAGATTATTCCAATTAAAATTATTCCACGCGAGTTTCCTTGCTAAATCTTTAATCCATTCTATCTCGAATATAATTTACACTTGTTCAACCATAAATCACTCAACTAGATAAATCTATTCCTAATTAGAATTTATTCACCACTTTCTTTGCACTACTACTGTATAGATCTACCATACACTTACTTATTCCACTTAAACTGTCCCCACTACTTTCTCCCCCGAATATTTCATCACCACTTAGTCCAACCAGTTAATCTCGTTCCACTTGCGATCCCTCTTCTACCAGCTTCTACCCAAACGTGGCCCGTTGAAAAAGTAACAGTCAAAATTTCGAACAGGATTACATCAATTAATCTAAACAATTTTATTTAAAATGCCCGAGTAACACATTTATTCGCACCTATTACAGCTGATTTTACAGCTGTATATAATCTTTGCCACTATACCTGTTTATTCCATATCGAATAATAAATTATCGAAGTAATTCATATTATTATTATTCCTCATCACATTAATTCTCTTCAAACACAACCGTTTGAAGATCTCGATTCCGGGCCCCCAAACACAAACACCGCAAAGGGTTCATTTCTCCTCCATATTCTTCATCTCTCCAACCCAAAACCTCATCCATAAACGCAACCTTTCTCCTCTTTCTCTCTCTCCCTCCCTCCTCTACGATTCTCCCTTTCTATTTATCAGCTCGCGCTCTAATTCTTTTTTCTTCTATCCTCTTCCCCCCTCCTTTCTACCTCTCTCTATCTTCCCCCCTCCTCCTCCCCCTCCCCCTCCCCACAGCGAAATCAGCTGTTCCCTTTCTCCTTCCCTACCTCCCCACCCCTTCCTTCTCCTCCTCTCTCTCTCTCTCCACGATCTCTATCCCACCAAGGGCGCTCCTCCTCGTCGCTGGTCGCCTCTCCCCACCACTGGGCGTCCGTCCGCGTCCGGACGCGTCGAGGCGTCCTCGCGGCGCGTCGCGGCGCGCTCCCGCGGCGGGCTTGCGCCCGAGCCGTCGCTTTTTACGCCGACGCCGACGCCGACGCAGCGCCGGTGGCTCGGAGTCGGCGTAGTCTGGGGCCTGGCGTCCTCCCGTTCGGGAAGAGAAGAGCTACTGGGAGAGAGAGGATCGCCCGTGTCCGTGTGTGTGTGTGTGTGTGTGTGTGTGCGCACGTCGTCCTCCTCGTCCGTGATCCTCGTCGTCGCGCTCCTCGCTCGGTCCACGCTCGAACGGAGGGAGAGGATCCTCTTCCCTTCTTCCTCGTATTTATTCTCTAAAAAAGCTTGTGCCCGATTAAAAGAAGAAGAAGAAAAAAAATTAACGTAGAGGATACATATATATATATATATATATATATAATACACACACACACACTATATATATATATATATATATA